ACATTTGTCTTGTATACAGTTAAAAACAAATTTTGTGATTATAGTTAAAATATATTTTATAGTTGTTCCACTTAATAAATATGAACTGTTATTTAAGAAAAGACAATTGACTATTTATTAGCTATTTTTTATACTATTTATAAGAAGAAATGACAATGATCAGGAATTATCCCAGTGATCAATAATTACCCCATCTGTAGGGGGGCAACATTTGATATAGTTTCCTATAATCAATTATAATGTTTACAGTAGATGTGAAACAATTAAACAAAAGCGTACACTACTTTTATATCAAAGAAAAAGAAATTAACTCGAAATATTTATTATTAAGAGAAGGAGGGGGATATCTTTGCAGAAATGTGCACATTTTGAAACTCATCTTTGAAATGGAAAATACAGAAAGCAGTTTAAAAGATACTTATTTTGTTAGATTAAACAAAAAATTATTATTAAGTAAATGTAGTTATACTTTAGTAAAGTGTACAAGCAGTCTTGTCCATGTCTGAAATTTAAAAAAAAATATTTTTTTTTTTAAATAAAATTTATGCGATTATTATTTACCCCAGAAACAGAGCGATCGTGAATTACCCCGGGTCACCCTAATTGTTTTTTATTTGATAAGAATTTTGCCTTTTATAGCATAAATAACAGCAATTATAAATAAAATTTTGATGATGAGTTAGTTAACTCTTCTTCGAATTTTTTTTTTTTAATTAAATCCCTTTTTAAGTGATTGCTTTTGTTTGCTATATTCAGTCATTAGTCCATCTTCAAATATCTTGTGACAAATCCTATTTTTTCTTCTTTGCAAGCACAGAATGTAAGTTTTGAATATATTCCCTTCCAGTTTCTCTGATGTTGTAACACTTACATATACTAATAATCGTCGTTAGAAAAACAGTAACCTTTATAGTAACTAATTTTTTTAAAAAAATTACTTCTTACAAGAATCGCGATAGTTGATCTTAAAATTGCGTGAATATGAATAACAATTATGGATTTTGAACAGTAACCTTTATAGTAACTAATTTTTTAAAAAAAATTACTTCTTACAAGAATCGCGATAGTTGATCTTAAAATTGCGTGAATATGAATAACAATTATGGATTTTGAAATCACATGAATATGAAACTAGATATACGATTTTGAAAATGAGGAAATAAAAACTGGGATATAGAACTTTTAAAACGCTTAAATACAAATCACGATTCATAATTTTCAGATCGCGTAAATACGAATCATGATGCGTAATTTTTAGATTGCATAAATAAGAATTATGATGCATAATTTTTAGAATACGTGAATGCGAATCCCAATGCCTTATTTTAAAATCACGTATAAATACGAAAATCAATGTTTGATATTATAAACCGCATGAGCAAATCAAGACATTGAATTTTAAACTTGCGTGAATACGAATCGCTACATAGGTTTTTAAAAAGGCGTAAATATGAATCACAATATCGGATTTCTAAATCTCGTAAATAAGAATCGCAACGTACAATATTCAAATCGCGTGAATAAGAATCGCAAGACGCAAATATGGAAAGCTATGTTTGATATTAAAATCAAATGAATAAGAATCGAGATATTAGCAGATTCCAGGCTTGGGACCTCTAAAAGGGTTGTCAGAAGCAGTGTCGTTTGAACGACAAAAATCGGATCTATCTGGAGGGCGGGTAAAAAATTCGGAAAATCTTATCCGCTGGGAGTAAAAGGGGAGAAAATAGCTTAACTAAGTAAAAATGAGAAAGGATTGGTAGCTATGTAGTTTGAAATTTCTGTTTCTCTTTGAAAATCGGTGAATTTTCTGAAAAAGCGGAATACTTATTAAAAAAAGTGAAATTTTTAGAAAAATGTGAATTTTTGATTAAAAAAAAAGCTGAAGTTCAAGAGATAAAAGTGAAAAAAGCGGAAATCCGCTAAAAAGTGGAAAAATCTCATCCCTGAGTTTGATTAAGATTCATGCAATTATCAATAGAAAATAGTGAGCAATCAAAAATTGGCTAAATTTGCAATTAGCTCTTTGAGTTAGATACTATTAATAAGCTAGCATAATTTTTAAGCGTGAATATCATAATTTATAGGGATGGGATAAATAGTGATTTGGCCAAATAACGAATATTTAGCGGCTTACTAGCAAGATTAAAAAAAAACACATTCATAAATATTTTTTTTTGTCATTCAAGTTTAGTCATTCAAAAATTAGCTGCATTATTGTTCTAGTGTAACAGTAAAAATTATTTTTTTTAAAACTTGTTTGAAATTTTTAAGATAAAGAAAGTAATAAGACATTTAAAAACAAAAATATAAAAGCACAACAAAAATATAAAATAAAAATCTATTTGATTTCTGAAATAAAATTTTACAGATAAACATTTCTTTTTTCCAGTTACCTCGCTAATTTTTTTCTTTTCTCGCATTAAAAAATTAATAACGCGAGAAGATCGCGCACTCTATTAATCAATTGCAAAATGAACGAATTTTGGAAAAAAATGCGTCTTCTGCCATTTTGAATAAAATCCATTTCACTTTTCTTCCTTGATCTTTCATTACTTCAACATGGATCCCTGTTATCCTATCCTTCCCTATTTACCAGTATTGGTCAGCACCGGTGCGAACAGCAGAACACAATGCCCCCCTCCCCCGAATAACGGAACACCTTTTTCTGCAACCACGTGTTCACGGAAGGTAAGATTTCTTCATGTAAGACGTTTAAATTTCTTTCAATGCTACAAATTTACTAAGTGATTCGGAATTGTTCAGCATCTATTGCAAGGTCATTTATCACTCAAAACCGAACTAAGACAAAATAGCGTATACAAATGACTGATAAACATTTGAGAAACCCCCAGTGGCAGAATTTTTTCGGGCTTTCTGCGACAAAACTCTCTAGCACTAATATCTTTCTGCAATGTACATTCAATAATACCAAAGATGAATGTTACTAATTAAAGGTAATTAAAACGCTGTGTTTACAATTAACAAAACAATCTATAGGCAATATTCTCGCATATTGTTGGAGAGGGGCGCACTAATTATTTCCTTTATCGCATTTTGCAAATCATCATCACATTAAAAAAATAATTCAACATAATGAAATCACGCGAATCGGACTCTTCAGAATGGTGTTAATCAAATGCAATGTTTCATTTTCAGATTTGATTGTTGTAGAAAATAACACCGTATGAAAAATATCGGGTTTTAAGAACAATGTGGAAATCAAAAGCAATAAATGCCCAAAAAATTGATAAAATGATTGCCTTAAAAAGTAAATGATCAAATGCGCAATTCGAATTTCCCATATCACCTACCTGAAATACATCCGGACATCTAAACGCCACGTGAAAATCAATGTCAATAACTGATGAAAATACAATCAAAATGGATTAACGATAACGGCATTAATTGAGGGCTTCAAAAAGTGATTATTTAAATGCGCGATTCGAATTTTGCGTGGAAATTTCTGATGAAAAACAAACCAAATTTTTTTACTTATCAAAAGAAAAATCTTTCTGCAAGAACTCTGTAAAGTTCTGCGACAATGTCGCCGCGATTCTGCCACAGGGGAGCAACCTAATGAGAAAAGCTGATGAAAAAGTTGATATAGAACGTTTTCGATATGATGATGCAGCAAAAATATTCAATGCTTGAAAAATTAGAAGATGTTAAAAATGTATTATAATTAAAAAATATTTTTTTTTCCAAGTCTATTCGAGTTTTTTTAATTTTTAGAAATCTCACTAAACTTTTTGAGATCTCCCCTTGTTTTTGAGAAAGGGTGAAAAATTCTCTCTTATTTTTTTTTCTGTAATGAAAACACTAAGTTTTTTTAAAAAGTAAAAGCTAAATAAAAATCAAAACAAAAATTGTTCTTAAATTTTAAAGGAAGGATTTAAAGCTAAAAATCTAAATTTAACTTCTTCAGAATCTTAGACAAAAGTGACTATAAAAGAATGATGTTCATTAGAAATGCTGTCATAATAAAAATGCTGATAAAAAGAAAAATTAATAAAAAAGTTAAAAGAAAAAAAACTGTTCTTAGTTCTAAAATATAACTTTAATGGTGAGAATCAGAATTTCCTAAGTTACTAGTTATCTGTCTTACCCTACAAGAAAAAAGTGACAATTAAAGAATAAAGTCTATTAGAAACATTCTGTTAAAATGCTTCGCTTTAGTTAAAACCAAAAAACAAGCAAATACTAAACTAAAAAAATTCTTAACAAGTCTCAGAACTTAACATACATGAGTAAAAACTATTTCTAATAGTGTATTGTAAAAATTACAGCTTTAGATTATTCTTCGCAACCATCAAAAACTAAGTTTCCAATTAATATTTTGCCAAATATTAGGCAAAAAGGACTCATATAGAATGATCGACCAATCTTTGTTACATCCTTAATAATTAAGGCTTTGAATTCATGTTATTAGCTTCCGGTCATTTTCATTACACAAAATGCTCAAGAGTCATTATATGTTCCTTTTTTTGGTATTCATCTCAAACACTAATGAATGTAGAACATACATTTTGCCATGAATGAAAGTAAATTTAAAAATTCAACATAGTTTAAACTTGATATTTTAATTTAAATGATAAAGGACCTTTTGTATCTAAAAGAATTCTTTTTGCAATTATAGGTAATCAAAATCCAAGCTTTAATCACAATTAGATACTAAAACAGCCTACTTATCTAGATACGTTGGGAAACTTCTTTTTGGTTTATATTAAAGTTAATCGGAAAAAAAAAGCACTTCGCTCCTGTAAACCATTCTAAGAATCAATTAATCATCACTGGTATCAATGATAGACAGGGAAGATTTCTGTATCGTGATCGGTGTCAGAATAGTCACCAAGTCTTGGCAATTTCCGGGCAGTGGCCCGCGAGAAATTAAACAACAACACCAACAAAAAAAAACATCACAGAAAGGGATCAACTCCTGGTCATCCCCGGGCCAACCTCTACGAGTTTTTTTTAAAAATTTTTTTCCCAATTAAAATCAATTTGGCAACATGGTGATTATAGATGGTGTGGCAGGAAATATTCCTGATAGGAAATTTTTTTCTCTCCAAAAAGAGTAACTCCATGAGCTCATTGAAACATTTAATGTGCTAATGAACATAGATTATTTGTGCGCAGTTTTAATATGCTATATTAAGTTCTAGCAGTACTATTTTTTTCTATAAAAATAAAACTACAAGTTGAAATTTATTCGTACTAAAAAACTAAGTTTCAAAAGTCAATTTTTAACTTCTTTTTATATAATTGCATGAATTTTTCCGATAATATACATATTACATTGTAATACTATTTACCTTTACTTCAAGTAAATAACACATGCAATGAGTATTATAAGACATGATATTTTCAAATTAAATATATTCAACATTGTGCATTCCACGTACATAAAAAGTAAAGCCAACACTTAATTGATCTAAATTAATTTGAAATGGCACAAATATTAAATGAGAATCGTGATGCACTTTTAATTTCTAATATTCCACACATGCGACTACAATGCTTTTAAGATAAGAAATGATATGATAGTACATAGACATATAATAACTTAATTGACTACCAATCAAAACAGAAATTAAAAAAAAATATTAATAACTCTTACTACATCAATTCCTATTCTTCGCATGACATGACTTATAACTTTTTTATAAATTGCAACTTTACTATCAAACATAACATGGAGGAAAGCTAGGTCTATCGATAAGAAAAATATAAATCGAAACTAAATAAAATATCGTTATCATCGATTAATGAAAGCTTTAACGATATAGATAAAAAGAAAAGGGAAAAAGGAAGAACAAAATTTTTTTAGGGATTATTTGCATGTGAAGATAGGGACTTCTAAAGAAATAAACTCAGAAATATTTGCAATTTTCAAGTTCTTTTTCGCTTATGTTGTACGCAAACTAATTCAGCTTTTACGAACTACAACGGATTAAAGTCTTGTATTCTTTATCTTTGAAAACAACAAACAAAAACCAATAAATAGCTTTGCCGGAAAACTACTAAATTTATGAATCTTTTGAGTTTCATTTCTGCTTATCTTTGCTGCACTTATAAAAGAAACCTATTTTTTTGAGGTATGGAAATTTACTCCTTGAAATTCGATCTTAAGTGTTTTTTCCAACTCCTTTCTGAAATACAATGATTATCTGTCTTTGTTTCATTGAGAAAGGACTTTGAAGGAAGGAAGCTAAACCGCAAACACTTATCTCAAAAAATATGTAGTATTTGAGTTTTTCGACAGCGCGCGTAATACTTGACATCTTGTTTGATGAATAATAATTTATCATACAAAATTTATGGGTGTAGCTCTCTGAATTTAATTCTTACCTTGCTTAGAGTACTACTGTTTTTATGTTTAATATATTGAATATTGTACCTAGTGAGGGGAATTAAATTTTTTGTTAAAGACGTATTATAAAAAAATTGTATGGATAGGTAGAACTGTAATGTCTTTTTTTAAAAAAAAAAATCCTTTTTGTCGTCTCAAATCTTTCTTGTTATGATATTAGAAATATTTTTATTTGCAGATTGTTTGTTCATCATGAATTTGGCTCTATTAATTCTACATGTGCTCATTACTGGTAATTATTTGTTTTTGAAATTATAATTCATTATTACATTGCACTTTTTATACATTGTTGATATAAATGGTTTAATGCAAGGATAACCAGAAGATTTTAAAATGTTAAATGTGATTCAAAATTTTTAAGAAGCTATAGGGAAGCTATATTTTACTAGGTAATTTCATTTTAATATTTTAACATAGAGTTAATGAAATTGATTTTCAATTCATTACTTTAAAGTTTAATATTGTGGGATACTTCCATATTGTGATCTGTCTCACCAACTTCAATGTTTAATTTTTGAAAAATAAAATCATGTAGTAGTTTGCCTGAGAGTGGCTACAAGTTATACCCTTCGAGTTGATCCCCATGAATTCTTTTTATTTTTTAAACTTTTTCAAGAGCCACTGCCAGAAATAGATGAGACTTGGTATAATTATTTTGCGATTTGATAATTGTTTGTTTTACCACTTTACGTCTTCACCTCCTTTTGTTTTACATTTGAGATTTTCTTGGCTCATTACGCCTTGTTTTTCTGTCTTACCTGTTGTCAATTTGTCATCGACTGTATTGGTTCTTTGACCTATATTAACTGAGGACCTCCGTTTACCTGTGACCTTTTAATGTTTTCTTATGTTCACTTCAGGTACACGTTTTTTTTTAATGGTTCACTTCACGTTTTACTGTTCTTGAATACATCACTGTGATGTGTTGTAAAATTTTCATTTGTGTCTTTGGCTCATTATAAGGGAAGCCCCGTCGGCTTCGGCACTATAAGGCGGGACTCTCGGAGCATTTTAATTATTTTACTGCTGTTGCCATCAGACTCTGTAATGTTTACATAATGTTACTCTGTAATGTTACTTTTTGTATTTTATGTACTTTTCTGTTTTTCTTGATTTTAATAAACATTTACCCGTATGCCCTAAATTGGGGCAGGTCGGGGTAAATATTTCATANCATTTACATTTCCTGAAGAAAATGTTCTTCACCAAAAAATTGAAAAGAAATCTACAAATATAGCTGTAGGTGATTGGCTAGCTGTTATTTATGACAATTTGTGGTATCCTGGTAAGTTTCAATTGAAGTTTTAACTAAGTGAAATTATTCAAAGCTCTTTAATTAAATTAATGAATATGTAAATCTTTTGTCTAGGTTCAGTAGAAGAAATTCAAGAAGATGGTTTTGTGCTGTCATTTATGCATTGTTCTGGAGATAAATTTTATTGGCCATCACCCGAGGAAAAATTTACAGTTCCTGAAAATGAAATTATGTGTATAATATCTGATGCACCACAACCGATCTCTAGACGCCATTTCATTATTCAAAATAAAAAAAAATATGATGACATATTGATTAACATTTTAAATTCATAATGTAAAAGTCATTGATCATGAAATAAAGTAAATGTGTTTATTTTGCTTTGTTTTTACAATCATGTTTTTTTTTATGACTCAATCTTTTTCTTCTTTTTTTTAAGAAATGTATTTTTTAAAATTCAATTTGATTTTTTAAAAAATATTTTACATATAAAAGTCATTTTATACATATAAAAAAGTTTTAATATCACTTCTAATGAATACTGATGTATCAACATCAGATCCGTAACGCAAAGCATCAGATCTGTAACAGCTTAAAAAGTGACCCCCCTAGGGAGGGGGTACATGACTTTCTTCACCTTGCCCCTGTTGTTTTCTTGTATTAACATCCAATTTTAAGTTGAAATGCACCATTATCTTTCTCCTATAAATTTTTTTTTAAATGTGTAAATTAGACTATTAAATTGACACTTTCTGTGATAAATGCTCAAAAGTACTCTTAAAGATATCAAAACACAATTTCTGTAATATTTCAATAAATATTTTTCCTACTTACATTCTTCTCTGAAATTTTGTTTTTTTTTCTCTCTATCTTTTTGTGTTTATTCAGATATATTTTATTTAACAATTGTTTGATTTCAATTACATGAATTTGTTTAAATTTTGCACAGTAAAACTCCAGATCCAGTTTAATCCTTTGTCTACTTTAGATGGATGTTCTCGCAGACAAAAAGTTTTTATCCACAAAATAATTCTATATGATTTTTTTATTTACTTTAAAATAATTCTCACATATTAAATTTTTTTTAAGATTCTAAAGATACATCAAAAAAGTTCATTTTTGATGTCTAAATAATTGAACTTTTTCCACCTTAACTTTTTAATTTGTTTCTTTTTCTCTAAATTAGTGGGACCATATTTTCTAAAATTTGATGGTTATTTCTGGATATTTTGATCAAATTTTCCTAATTCAGAGAAAATAGGTTTTTGTGTTTGAATTCATAACTTTCATTATTGTAAATATTAATTGTTTAGAATATCTCAAATTTTCTCAAACCATGAAAATTGTATCTTAGTAGGTAAAAATTTTATTATTTCAAGTCAAAAAATATTTCAAATGTAACTTTTTTACTGCACTGTATTTGTGCATGTTTAACTAAAACATAATTTGTTTTGCAAATCGTTCATCTACTTTATAAATTAATAGGCTTATAAACTTGTTTTTTTAAAGTATGCAGTTTTTTCTTCTTCAATTATACTATTATTTAGTGTTGTTAAGCATTCAGTATAGAACTATTTATACTGAATGTGATCTGTTTTTTATTAAAAAATATTAATGCTTTATTTAGGTGTACCCAAGAGGAGCACCAAGATGCGCTCAAATGGATAATCTAATAGAGCAAGGATGCTCAAAAGAAAATATTGTAAACCCTATCACAGAATCTGAAGTTTTAGAGGTAAAATTACTTGTTTATTTTTTGTTGAAAACTTAAAATGTTAATTTATTAAAAATTTTGATATTTTTTTCCTTTATAGAGAAATTAATTTTATTTTACATTATTTTTGTATAATCTAATGTATGTGTTAAAAATAGTAGAAATCAAAATGTATTGAAATAGTAAGAATTTATGCAATTAAATTTATAGTATCACTCATAAATTTAAGGAATTCAAGCTGATAAATAAAAATTTTTTAAAGCAACACATTTTTTTTTAACAATTATTATTATTATTATTTTTTTTTAAAAAATTTGATCTATAATTTACTTTAGTTTACTTGAAATTCCCTCAAACTTTCATCATAAGATCAGGCATATTCTGTACCCCTGGCTTCATATTTGTTCAAACCAAAAAGTTTATTCTTGAGAATGTTGTGTGAAATCATATGATTTTGTTGGCTATGTTATGGAGTAGTTTTAATTAGGAAAAAAATGGTCCTTTTTTATTTGAAGAAAAGAGATTGCAATAGCAGAAATTCGGAAATTCGGGATACCATATCAACGGCAAATTATTTTTAGGCTAAGTTAATATAGAATATTATTTCTTATGTTTAGATCATTTTTAATTTGTTTTAAAGTGCACTAATCTAGCTAGACGTAGTTGATATGATGAGCATAATTAGTGTCCTCCAGGTGCTTATGTTTTTGAAAAATCACCATGCCCTGTTTTATTTTTAGGGAAGATCTCTGCTTAAAATTAGTTCATTTATTTATTTCTATTTTTTTTTATTTTTATTTTTTTTTTTGGTAAAGAGGATTAAGGTAAAATTTGCTATGCACTTCAACTGTAAATACTCCTAGTGTTTAAAATAAATTTAATATCAATTTTCTAAATTTAGCTGTAAAGTGCATAGTAATTGTCAGAAAGCTTTGCAATTGGACTTTGACAATGAGTAGTTATGAATAAATGCTACTTGAGCAAGTTCAACAAAATAGTGTGAAAAAAATTTGGTTATAAGAAAAAATCAGATGTTTATATTAATAAGCCTAAAATAAAAATGCTGCTTGCCTTTCTTTTGGGCTCTGTTGTCACATAATATAATCTTAAAATTCTCAATTATTCTGCAACACACCACAATATGGAAATCTTTCCAATAACACCTTTATGCAAATGACATTCATATTTTCATAATTGCTTTGAATTAGCAATAATTATTCATGACTGTCAGGTTAATTTCAGCTTATCTTTATCCATCACATTCTATAGTAATTCTGGGCAAAATGTCAAAAAGAAGAAAAGCCACAGTTAGTGAAAATTTAAAGTGTTTGTGATCTAACTATTTATTATTTAAAAAGTAACTCTAATACTGCATTATCTGGGCTCATAATAAATTTTTAAAATTTGATAGCAGTATTGATTTTGATAATTTTCATAAAAGTAGAAAAATCTCGTTAAATTGGAAATTTTTAAATTTTTTTTTATAATTTATAAAATATTTCAGTTATTTGTCTACTCCTATTCCCAGATAATTCTTTATGGCAAAATAGTAAGATATTTAATTTGCAATTATTGCTTCATCTCTAGTGTAAGGCATTTAAACCTTGGCTATTTTATTATTCTTGTCTAAAAACCTTCAAAAACACTGCTTAACATGAGAAACAATCATATATTAAAATAAGTTTTTTAAATTAAGCTATGAGTGTGACTAAATGGCTACATCTTCATGTGGCTATGTTTTTTAGACTATAGTTTTTATTATATTTTCTCATTTTTGTTATTACTTTTTAAGGATGAACCTCTAAGTGATGCAGGAGCAGCTGCAGGTTCTGCTATTCAATTAAAACCACAAAAATTAAAGCTTTCTTTGCGACCTGGTAGGCAACATTATTAAAAATATTTTGAACATATAAATACCTCAATTTTATTTATAACCTTTCCTTTCCTGTTATAACCTTTCCTGTTTTCATTTAGGTGATCCTGCAAAGTTAACTGTTAAGTTCAGGCAGGCTGAAGATTATCCCGTGGACTTGTACTATTTGATGGATCTCACTTTTTCCATGAAAAAGCACAAGGAGATGTTAGCTAAGCTTTCATACACCATTGGTATATTATTATTATAATTTTTAATTGTTATCTGTGTTAAATTTTGTGCAACTGTGTATACCATATTCTAAGCCCTTGCCTGACGTGGGCATATATACTGCGTAGTTAATTGCCCTTGTCCTATAAATATGCATTATGCACTTTGCCATGTGCTGCCGTCAGTAAAACTACTCCCATAGCTTTCTAATGCAGAAGATTGTCACACTCAAGATGTATGCCATATATCTTGATTAAGAAAGTTATAACAAAAGCTTGGAAACTATTTGGGACACAATGTAGTTTTAATAAGAATATCCTCATTCATTTATGCCTTTTTATTAAATGTTTCTTTTGTAATTTTTAAATTTTTTTTTGATTTCTTGTAAAAAACAAACTATTTTTCTGTCATGTAAATAAAACATAGTTGCCAACTCTACCAGATTTACTAGTAAACTTCTGGATTTTGCCAGTTTCTCCTGGTCAACTGGTTTAATAAAAATTCTTCTGCTTTTTGTACATTTAGGGAAATTCTCCAAAAATGAGTAAGTTTCCTTAATTTCATATTAAAATAAAATTTTTACTCAATTTATAGCTTGCTTGAATATTTAAATAAGTATTACTAATACATAATGAAGCGAACCTCTTTTATAGTGTATAGTTTATTCAGATCACCCTTTGTAAATTAATTAAAAAATCTTTTAACTACTAATAATAAATTACTTGTCTATTACTATTCAAAACAAATTAACATAATAAAAATCATTTCAAGTTCATTTAATATTAATTTTAACTGGAAAATATAGCAGATCATTTTCAGTTATTATTGTAATAAATTTTTTGTATTTTGATGACAGTAAAAATCCTTAAAATTCATTATATGTAAAATAATTAATTATGCAACAGTTATCATGAAAGTTATATTATTTCGTAAAATCCATGTTGGTAGCTATGCATGGTAATAAAATATTTCTCTCTATAGCTCTCTGTCCTGTTCGACAAATTAGGTTTCTATGAAAAAAACATAATTCACTTCACCTACAACAGTGAGGAAATGCTGAATTAGTTTCCATTGTATTAGTATATCACATTAAATGTAAAAATAAGATGCATCTTTAAAGGTTTTTTTTTGTGTAATCCAGTATCAAAAATGAATTTTCAAAAATAATCATAATGTCTTTTTGAGATTGGCTATTATAATTATTTTTAATTCTAACTTTTATCAGTGTTGAAAAAGAATGCATTGCATTAAAGTTGTAACAAGGAAAGATGCTTAGTTTCCTAACATTGGTATAAGGTTAACATTTCTTATGATGAATTGTTGTTTGAACTTGTTACTTCATCAGATCAATCAATCATTCCCTATTTCACTTCATCATTTTGTCTTAGTAAGTCAGTACTTTCCTCCTCCATTTCCTTCCTTCCTTCCTTTCTCTCTTTTTTTTCTTTCTTTTTTTTTAAAAAAGAAGTAATTGTATTTAAAAATTATTATTATTCGAAAAATAAGTTTTAATTCTTAGAAGACAAGAATTATTTTTATAAACTTTAGCTTTGTTTTGAAATTAAATAATTTTGAAAATATATATATTAATTATCTAGTAAAAATGTTGAATGTTAATTGAAAATATTAGTCACACATGCATAGTGATTCAGCTTAAATTTATGAAGTGATGGTTAGAACACATTTTTTTTTTCTCTTTCAGAAAATTACATGCTGTATTTTTTAAATATTTGAATGTATTTTTTGCAACTTGCTGACACAAACTAGTTTGTTGCAAATTTATGTTTTTGGCAATGTAATTACAATATCTAGTAACTTTTGAGTTAACCAAAGCAATGGTTAATATAATTTCCTATTGTATGTATTTTTTTTGTTTTTTAAGTTATAAATATGTATATTGAGTTTTTTTGTTTGTTCAGTAATAAATTTTTATATTTCAGTTAGTCTTATTGCTATTTGGATTTCATTGGTTTGGAAGAGGGGGGAATAGTTTTTATTTTAAAAGTTATCACGATTAGGCATAAGTTATCACATTTTCTTATCTTTTCATCGATTCTATATACATTGTGTAACTGCATTTGTTTAGTTTTTGAAACATTGCTAGTTTGAAATTGTTTTCCATTTCAATTTTTATAGTTATGTGCTAATTTTTAAATTAGCACATAATAATGGAAATTTAGTCTTATAATTATAAATATTGCTTTAATGATTTATAATTATAAAAATTGCCTTTGAAATATACCTATATATAAAATATATTCATAATTGCTATTGAAATATGCCTAAAAATACCTATGAATTATAACTATTTGCTCTCTTTGAGTTATATAAACCTAGGTATCTCACTGATTTTTCATCCTTTTATTTTGTTTCTATCTATTATTGTATTACTTTTTTTTAAAATCAGACTTAATTTTTAGCACCATTTGAATTTTTTAATGTTCTGCATTTTGTTCTGGTATTTAAGCCATTATTCTCTATAATTAATTAATATTTTTTATTATATTTATTTATAGTAATAAATTTATATACTTAATTATTTTGTATTTTTTTTTTACCAAAGTTTAATTACCAAATTTTAGATTTTTAACTTTTTTTTGGCATTTTATTTGAATTTATTGTTTACAGCTGATAATATGAAGACTGTAACTAGGAACTTTAGGCTTGGATTTGGTTCTTTTATTGATAAAGTTGTGATGCCATATGTTGACATGGTACCTGAAAGGTAATTAGTTTTTCTATTTGAAAAATTAGTAAATAATTAAATTATTATTCTTTTCTCTCTTAAGATATTAATTAAAATTAAAAGGTGAATTAACTTAAGTGTTTTTTTCAGGCTTGTTAATCCATGCAGAGAAGAATATTGTAATTCCCCTTATGGTTTTCGAAATCATTTGTCTTTAAACGACAATGTAACACTTTTTACTGTAAGTTTTATTTTATTAATAGACTTTACTAAGTGTTTATAAATACTTTATATCAAAGCACTTTATATTATTATAAGGATTAAGTATTTTTAAGCATTTACTAAGTTCATGAGCATGTTTAATGTGTTGTGATTTACCATATTTTAACCTTCCGTTAGACGCGCGCACCTTACAGGTGCATCTTTATTGCACTTCCACCTCCTTTGCCGTCAATAGATGTTTCCGGGGGACGAGCCTAATGTTATCTTCCTATCTTTGGATTACTCAAAGGTCCGTGTACTCCCGACCTTCGAACATGTCGATGGAGAGTTGCAGCGGCTCAAATCACCCCACAGGTGCAACGCGACCATTGATCCAAGTATTATGGATGTAATATTTTTATGAATTAAATATCTACCCTACTTAAATATCTTCCCTACTCAATGTAGCAGGTATAAATGGTCAATTTATATGCGCAAAAAATGGTTGCAAAGTGAAAAACCGCAGAACCTTCTTGCGTCAATTGACTAAACAACTTGTGATGGATGAAATGATCCGACGCTGGAGCAAGAAAAATTTATCTTCAGTACTTCGCTTTCGATTGGCAGAAGCAAACTTCTCAAACCTCAGAAAATTCACTGTCAGAAAATCAAGCCAAGAAAAGAAAATTGTGTGTGCCATGTCAAAAAAATAAACAACAAAATACTTGCAAGTATACTTGTGCTACTTGCGGAAAACACTTATGTTTGAGTAATGTAACAACAATTTGCAAAGACCTCTTGCAAAAATTCTTGTTCTCATAAAGGTAGTTCTGCATCAGACAGCCTCTAAGATAATATTTTTATGCTAACATGTGATATTGAAATAAGTTGTTCCGATATGCAAGACTTTCAATGTTTTTTTAAAATTTTACTTTTCTTTGTTTTTCTTTATGTTGTGCAATTATTTGTGATACAGTTTTTTCATATATTTTAGTAATTAAATAAGTTTTTTCATACTTTATCTATCTAAAGAATCTTAAATAGGTAACACTTAACTATTTAAACTAGAATAAACTTCACTTGACTTTAAAAATATCAAAAACACCTTATAGGTGCAACGCGACTAACCATGTCGGAAACAAGTGCGCGTCTAACAGAAGGTTAAAATGATTTGTGAGTTGTTGAACAATGCGCAATAATGATATTCTAAATTTTCAATTAATTTTTACTTGACAAATACTTACTAATGTTTTAATATGGTATCAAATTTCTATTTAAATAAATGTTTATTAATGCTTAAAAAAACCCCAATTTTTCTACTGCGATTTATTAACATTATGGTAAAATAATAAACCTTGGTTTTCTTTTTTTTTAACTAGTAAGACAATTCAAATTTTGGATCATGATTTCAGCTTGTTTATAAGTTAACCATTAACTACCTTGTTTATAACTACAGTGAAACCTCTTTAGAGTGACTACTCTCTGTTCCACAGCAAAATGATCATTAACTGGAGGTTGGGGGCTCCTGGGCGTTATCTTCACTGACTTCAAAATGATATTGAAGGTACATGATTTTTCTCTAGACATTTTCATTTTAGTCAGTGTCATTTTCTTGTTGCGTAAATACCGCTTTTGTTGGCGCCATGAAAATGGGATTGATGAATAAAATTTATTGTCGATAAAAATGACTATAAGAGTGCGTAAAAATAAATTAACCAATTATGAATGATAAAACTATTTTAAATAAATAAACAGTTATGTTTTAAGTTTAAGTTTGCATTTAATTTTATATCATTAAAATTAGTAAGCTTTAAGAAATGAGAGGAGGTGTGTTGCTCAAGTTGGTTTTGATGGTCTCTCCCAAAGGTTTTCTTCAACGCTAAGTCAATGCAAAAATTTCCGTGCCTCCCAAAAGTGGTTGCAAATAGAGGTCATTAGAGGAGGTCAAATAGAGGAGGCTTCACAAGATTGGTCTTTCCTGGAGGTTTCACTGTATAATATTAGTACCAACTATCTACAATCCTTCTAGATAGTTTTCTCCTAGCATATGAATAAATTAATTTTTATTAAAAGATAAATACTTTCTTTCTAATTTTTTTATTTTTTTTTATGTTACAGTTTATTTATTATTTAAAATCCTGTTTTTAAAAAGTATTTTTAAAAAAATATATATTTCTTAAATCTTCTCTCAGAATATATATTTTCTTCAGATATTTTGATTTTGTTACATTTATTTTCCACCAGGCTTACTTTATAATACTTTATTTTTCTTTAAATTATGGCATGATAGCATTTTTATTTGGTGTAATATAGCCTTTTTTTGACTCTCATATATCAGTATTATTCAACCAACTTTGATAAATCTTACAATTTTAGCAAGAAGTTTCTGCTGCAAATTTGTCTGGTAATTTGGATAATGCAGAGGGAGGTTTTGATGCTGTAATGCAAGTCATTGCCTGTAAGGTTAGTTCAGTTTATTTCAGTTCAGTATAATTTTTTTTAATTAGTGTGCATATTGTTAATGAATATTTAGAAAAATATAAAGTTAGTTTATTGTTTTCCAAAAAAAGATTTTTTTTAAAAGGTAAAAAGTGATTTTTTACACTAATTGAAAAAAAAGTATTTTTAAAAAGAATAATAAATTGTTAATGAATATAATTTTTGCCTAATTTTATCATTTTACCTTTCCAGGAGAAGATTAGGTGGAATGATCGTTCTAGAAAAATAATATTATTTGCTACTAATGGAATTTTCCATTATGCTGGTGATGGTAAAGTTAGTATAGTTTTAATTATTTTTCATGTAAACATTACTTCTATTAAAAAAAAAAAGATTATTTATGTTGAATAAATCATTTTATTAAATTTTACTTGTATTAGTAGTGCTTGTTTCTTTAAGTTCTTTCTTATACTACTGCATGGTGGTTTGCTCTTGTTACTTTTGCTTTAGATATTCTTGCATTTCTTTTAATTATTTTATGACCTTTGTGTGTGATCTTCATGTGCAAAACTTATGTGAGTTTTCTTTCTTTATATATGTTTCTATAGCTGTCTTTTTTTTCTTCATGAGCTTTCTATCTTCTGCATAAATATTAGAGGGTGAGTAATTTTTTTTACATTTTGGATTGGTTAATTTTTATATTTGAGAGTGATTTAAAAAACGCAAATGTTTTGTATAATTTTTTCCCCTTAGTAATTATTTATCTAAATATGGGAGAAATATAATTAAAATAGAAAAAGAAACTCAATTAAAATGATTATTTATGTTGACTGATATTTAATGGATTTTTTTTTATTCATTTCAATATACTTTTCAATTATTAAATATGAAAAATTAGCTAATATATATCAGAATTGTTAACATTTGCTAAAAGATAATTGATGTAAAAGTTTATTGAAATAAAAGCTTTATAATATTTATTTAATGTGTAACTATATAATATAAATATTGTACGTAAGTGAGTAATTTAATGAAGAAATTTTAAGTGCTAAACATTTGTAATATGAATGTTTAATTAATTTATTAAGAATACAAAAAGCTAAATTTTATTTCCAATTTTTATTCTGGTCATTGAAAAAGGCAAAAATGCCCTAAAAAGAAAGAAAAATCGATCAAAAATCATTCACATAATCTTATTGTCTTATTATAACAAGTAAAATATTCTTTTTTTCTCTGCTTATAAGCTTATTTATTTGATGTATGTAAATTATTTTGAGTTATGAAATTCTATCATTTATATATTTTCTTTTTAAAACTGCTATAAACGCATCTTTCTATATTTTATTGAGCATCTTATTGTTAATATTCTGTTAATTGATTATATTGTATTTCACATATGTTATATCTTTTCGTAATTCTAAAATTGCTGTGTTCTTTATGACCTAAGTTTGATATTAAAAATAGGTATAAATTGATTTTAAAAAAAAATATTTAGAATAACTAATAATAAATAGCTGCCTATTTTTGCTAGTTAAATGTTTTCTGATTAAAACAAATTTTATAATGTAATTTTTTTTATTCAATTATATAACCAAATATTTGAAATCGTTAGTTTTTCTAATTAACATTTATTATTTTGGTATTGTTTTATTTTAAAGTACATTTATCAAAATGCACATTAACATATTGTAGAAATTATATTATTTATGTATTTTGATTTATAGGAATATGATAATAAATTGATTTCGATTGTGTGAATTTGCAATATATTTGGATTGTATGAATTGTTAAAGTTTAGTAGTTAAGTAAAATAAATCGCGAAATTTTTAAATTACGTGAAATCTTTAATTTTATTAATCTTGAAAGACAGTCACTTTTCAATCTTCTTTAAAACAAAAAATATCTGGATTCTTATTATATTTTCTNTATATATGATTAGTTCTTTGTTAACTAAATTTATATTTTTACCATGTTCAAACCAGCAAAATGTTTTTATTTTTTTTCTTAAAATAAATGCTAGTAATTTTCTAAAATCATTAAAATTTTATAATTAAATATCATCCTTATTAATTACAAACTTTAAATTATCCAGTGAAATATTATTACCTTGCTCACATTTATTTTGGAGTAATCCAGATAGATAGATAGATCATTTTTCTTCTCCTTCTTAGTAGTGTTAATAGTAAGGTTTAGATATTTTTAATCTTTGAAATTAAGACTTTAATTTTCTATATTTAATTTTATCGCTTCAACTGTTTTTGTTTCTTTAAATTTGCATTTTGATCTTAAATTTTCGTAATGTGACAGTTTAGCAACTGTTAATTTCAGCGTGTGAGTTTGATTTAATATTCAGTGTTTTTTTTTAAAATTTAAATAAATTGTATAGAAAAAAATAAATTTCAATATTATATTGTATTTCAGCTTGGTGGAATTGTAAAACCAAATGATGGGCATTGCCATTTAGATGAAGATGGGTACTATACTGAGAGCATTTATCAAGTAATAAATAATATTATTCTCATATTAATATTCATTTTAGAGTAGTTATCAATTCCTTTATTTATGATTTTCTTTTTCAGGATTACCCATCTCTAAGTCAAATAAATACCAAAATAATTGAGAACAAGGTTTTGATTATATTTGCTGTTCCTGATACAAAATTACCCTTGTATCAGCGTTTGTGTAATGTTGTTGAAGGTACTTATGCAGAGAAACTAGAAAGTGATGCTTCCAATATAGTTAATTTAATACACAAACAGTATGATGTAAGTATCTTTATAATTGCTTTTCGTTGGGGCTTGTGTTATTAATATATTATCACTTAGTTTATAAAAATAATTGTATTTTTTTTTCACATAATTTTTGTTCATAGCTCATTTCTTTTATTAGTTGCTATGCTATTCCAAGTCAATTATGGTGTTTTTGAAAGTTTTTCGAGTTATTAAATAATTCTGTATGTATGTAGAATTTTGTAAGTGGAACTTAAAATGACGTTGATGTTTCTTTTTCTTTCTTTTTTTATTATTGTTTATGTTATAGGGAACAGATGTCTTGTTCACTCTTTAGAATAATTTTTAATCATCTCTATTTTTTCAAAGGTTGAAATTATTTACTTAAGATGTATATATGTAAAAAAAATATTCATTCTTTCAATTATGAACTCACCAATCTTAAGGATTTATGTTCTGATTCTAATAATTGTTTTTAATTAAAATGCATTGTGAACACAAACGACTGTTAATTATGAATTATGAAAACAATGCTGTTCATTTTGCTTAATAATTTTGTCAAAATGTGAAATGCAGTTTTTATAATATGGTACTGTTTGTTAATAATTTGATCATTTTTTTTTATTTTTCTGAAAATTTGTTTTATGATTTTTGCTTCAGTTTTTTCCTATCTTAACAGCTAATTTTATATATATTGTTATGAAATTCATTCTTTTTCAGAACAAAATGTATTAAAAGTCATATATAGTTTTATTGATAAGTAAAAAGAAGCATGCTAAACTTTTGCAGTTGTATTGCATTTTAAAACTTTTGTGTTCTGAAAATGTTTAATATGAAATGTCATGTTACAAAATTTTTTATTTTTGAATATTACTTATATTACTTAAATACTTAAAAATATAAAAATACAATAAATATTTTCATAATCATAATTCATAATCTGTTAATCTTATTTATTAATAGATTTCTATTAATTAAATAATTAAAAATTGCAAAAAGTAATAAATATAACAGCTGTTAAAAATTATAAATCTGAATAGGAAAAAGTTAGAGGAATTTTAACTTTTATCAATTTGATGCTAATGACTGAAATTACCAAGTCTAATAAGAATGATTGAAAATGTTATTACCTCAATAATTTTTTATAGTAAGATTTTATTATTTTTTTTTGTCCTTGGAATTAATTTTTTTAATATTTATATTTTGTTTAATTTATTTTACAGAAAATTCAATCTAAAATTGAATTGAAAGATAATGCTCCTGATTATTTGAAGATAACTTACTCATCAAACTGTCTTGGGTAAGCTAAATAAAAAATAGTTAATTTAAATTAATAAGTAAAATTTACAACACCAGATTTATTTTTTTAGTGATGAAATTGACTTTTTGCATTGTTATTGTATAACAATGCCAACTTTAATGTTGTTTTTATTTTTATTTACATAAATATAATTTGCTTCATTATTGTGAGAATTATTTTGTGTATGCTTTAGGGATAACTAACAGATAATAGTTTTCTGTATTGCACTGAAATTTGAAAGTATAAAAAGTCTTATTTTATTTTGATTTTATTAAATTTATTGTAATATGTCTAATGTGTTTTGCTCTCTGTTTAAGGTTTTGAGTTTTTTAAAAAAATTTAAATTATACATAAATTGTATTACTTAAGTTTTTATCAAAAAAATTTTTTTTGGTCATTTTCTACTATCTCTTTGTTTACCAAATAATTAAAAAATTATCAAAAATGCGAGGAACTTTTTTGTCTTTCGATTTTATACTTTGATAAATAATTTTTTTTAATATTAAATATATTCTTTAATTTTTCATAAAATTTTGAAGTTAGTGACTAAACACATTAAAATTTTTTAATTAAACATTTAATACTTTGTTTTATAGCTGGTTGAAAATGTTAATGAATCAATAAAAAAAAATATAGAAGACTTACTTGCATCGAGATAAAAAACGGAGAATTTTGGAATCACAAAAGGTGTTGTCAAACAAAATATCAAAAATTGAAAAGTTCTCTAGATGATATTCAATTTCTAATTTGGTTCCAAGTTCATAATTCGCATTGGACTGATCGTAAAGAAACGGTTAACAGTAGAACACCAAAGTCAAGCATACGTATTGACCGAGGGTGCGCGGTATTGGTCCTCATTAAGTGCTTGACTTCACACGCAGATCGTTAGGCTACCCAAGTGAAGGAGCCTTCCCCTCTACAGAGGATCTAAATTGTGATGGCATTCCTTCGGATCATCTGCTGGGATGTTTCCCAGACCATCGCCAATAGCCTGCTGTGCAACTCTAGTGCGACATAAATAAAATTCCTACTTACCAACCAAATTTGCAATATTTTGTTCTATTTTAATACTATATGAAAATAATATTAGCGGGGCTTAAAGCTCTCATTGTTACATAAAGGATTAAAATATAGGTTACTTAATTTATAATAAGGTTAATATTATAAATAATTATAGTGATGAAATAATTAGCTTTATTAAATGAAAATGTTTCAAGAGTCTCAGAAAATAAACTTACATGTTACTAATATAGTTTTAAAATTTTAAGTCATGCTTTTATTTTTAAATTTAATTATAAAATTTTCAGTGTTTAGAACAAATATTTATACATTAGTACTGTTTATCCAAATTTTCTTTTTTAAAATTTATTCTTTGTAATTAGGTAAATAATTTTATAACTTTTTTTTCTTCCTCTTTTAGTGATGAAGTTAAAGATACTAACTTGTGTGAAGGCTTGCGTGTTGGAACTACTGTAAGTTTCTTAGTTTTTTTTCAATTTTTATAAATAAATATATTGTGTATTTTATTGCTCTCTCATTCCTGAGTGAAAAGGAGTTAACTGTCTGAGTAAATCTTAAAATTAAGGAGAAAATTCCAGTTTTGTTTCAAGAAAGACTTTAAAAAATGCTACATCTTAAACCTTTTATGGTCTAACGCATAAAAAGTTGCATTTAATATATGGTCTGCATAGGAAACCATTTATTCTTATTATTTTGATTGCAAAGTAGTGTAATGAAGAAAAAGTATTTACCCAAGTTAGCCCATTTCCGAAAGTTGTCAGTTATTTAAAGCATTTTTGACAAAAAAGAAAAACTTAAAAGATATGATCATTAACTCTTTAAAGTATAAAGAAAAAAATTAGTTCAGATGCTGATTGTGTTATAAGAATATCTTGTGCTGGTTATTACAAAACGTTGCCCATTGTTTTCCCATCTTTATAGATAATTTTTGCTAGAATTTTCCCATTAGTGTCTCTTTTACTAGTTTGTGGGAGTAGTCTCTTTCAGCTTTCTTTATTGGCATGCTAAACTTAAGATTTTACTTTTGTAGTTTTAAAATTTTATTTTGTTCTTTTTTAAATTAAAATATTTTTGATATGTTTCACCTGGTTATCAGTTACCTTAGGAGTGGGTTAGGGTTAAATTTTTTACATACTTTACATTACTATTATTATTTTTTTTTGAAAGTTTAAGAGAGAAAAATATTAAAAATTTTATTCCATCTTTTATTAATTTTCTTTGTTTGAATTAACTAACTAGCATGCAGCATACAGCTTTATAAACCCTATTGTGTTAAATTTCTCTAGTGCTATTAACAAACAAATGTTTTTCTTGATTGAACATTGAAATAATGTTTTCACTAATTTAATGCTTTTATTTTAAAGGTTGAATTCAATGTTGAAGTAGAGCTCTTAAAATGCCCAAAGAATTCAAGTTTATGGACTAACAAAATTCAAATATCACCAGTTGGTTTAAGTGAATATGTGCAGCTAGATGTAGATTTGAAGTGTGAATGTGACTGTGAAAAGCCTGAAAATGAGGTTTGACAATTGACTTTTTATTTTTTATTAACTGCCTTTTATTTCCTATAACTGGTCTAATCATAAAATTGGAATTCAACTAGTTTCAATCAGCAAGTCGTTATAATGAATGCTATTTTGTTAAACTTTTTTATGATTGTTATATTTGAATTTTTATCACATTTCATAATTTATCTATTGTAAAATATATGTGTGACGATTTTTACTTTTGTGGGCTCCTTATTTTTTTCCTCATAATTTCCCACATTTAACCTAAATTATATGGAATAGCCTATATTTTTTAAGAAGGTCTTATTTGGAAATACCTTTATTTTGTGATCTTATGTTACTATGATTAACTGCTGTGTTTGCAAGTGCTATTACACTTGATTGTTTTTGTTTATAATTATTGAAAATACTTTCCACAATAAAGGAACTCCTTTGCAGCTTGTAAACTTAGTGCAATTTTTAAGTATATTATATCTTTTACTGCATTATCTCAAGGTTGATATATAAATTTAATCTGGATTATTTCTGGATAAAAATAGGATATTCAAACCTGTAATGGGCAAATGTAACAAAATTTAATAATAGTACAAAACAGGGGGAAAGTGATTCCTATCATATAAGATTCATTGTTGCTCTAACATATTATTGAGCTTTTCATATTATTAAATTAAAGTACATATTGAATGAAATTCAAAGAGATTTACTTTGAATTTTTTTCTTCAAAAAGTTGCTCAAACCTGCCTGGGCCAAATATGTTTCATTGGACAATAACAAGTGGCACTTTATTTAGTCCCAATATTACAGGAAGCCATTGTTCCCTTTAGTTCATATTAAGTTTTTTTAATATAAACTATTGGTTAGTAAGTATTAATTTTGATTTTATTAAAAAAATTTTTTTTTAACACAGCAAGAAATAAGTCCTGAGTGCAGCTTCTCCGGCACTTATGAGTGTGGGATATGTAACTGTGATACCAACTTTTTTGGTCGCAAATGCGAATGTCAAGGTGATGAAGCAGACAAGGAATCTAAACTTTCATCTTGCAAGATGTATGTATTTTGTTACATTTATTAATAACTCGCATTTTTTAATATAAATAGATAAATAAATATAGAATAAGCAAGTTGTTTCATACTTACTTTTTTCCCTCCATTTTATTGTAAACTAGCATCTCTTAGCCTTATTTTCTGAGCATTAAACTTTGAATACAAATGTTGTTAATTAATGCATATTTTCAAACATCTCTTTTTATGTAATTGCAACTAAGCAATTAGTACCACTTAGAGTGAAAAGGTTTCTTTTTTGCCACAAACATGTTCAATTCAAATTTTTTAGTTATGGTCACTACATATTATAATTGTTTTCTCTATAACATCGAAACATAATGGTCTAACATAATTTTCCATTGTCGTCGATGCATTTTCATCTCAAAATCAAGTTTTCTGACATCAACTTTTATATCTTTTGGTTGTCATTAGCATGAAATTATGTTTTTGATCTTTAGTGCTTCTAAATTAAGAGTTTGAAACTGAAATTGTTTCTTTATTAAAATTTAATTTTTATGCTACTTTTTTAAATAAACTTATTTAAATCAGTATCAAAACTTATTAACCGTTTTACAATTATTGTTTTTTGGTGCAAATTTCATTTATTTATTATTATTAAATTGCAATTCAAGAGATTCATTATATGATTGAGAACTTAAGGATCAGTTTCATGCACAATGGGATACATGCAAATCATATTTAATGTAAGCAAAAATAACATTTTTTAAATTTGGTTATAACAATGTACCTTTAATTTTAAATGTTATTTTAAAAAACGATCGCTTAGCAAAATTATTAAGCAATTTAATAGGTTGTAAAGAATCATAAAGGAAATCTTTCGACGTGGGATGAGGGCACAAGAGTGAGCAACTGAAATTCTGTGTATTACATAAATTTTAACAGAATAATTTCAACTTTTGCTGAAAAAACTGTATAATGCCAAGGAAGCAATTATTACGGAGGAATCATTAAGGTTTGAACAGGGGTTCTATTGTAAAACTATGTTTTGTTACTTAATTCAATAATATTGAATTATATAAAGGAAATTATATATTTAAAATTGATGAATAAAATGTTATTAGAGCTTGTGAAATCAATATAACTTTAGCATAGCTCTTCTCTCTCTCGTTTTCTATTTAATTTTTTATTTATTCTTTTTTTAAAGATGAGTTAAAAACTGTAAACACTTCAGATGGATCTGATGTTTCATGCCTGCTTTTCTGTGCTAGATTTAATTTTCTTAGTGTGTTCAATAAAGTTTTTAACAATACTGGTTTATTTGTAAGAAATATGCATTTAAAAGTTTTGACTTGTAATGCGTATTAAAGTAAACTGATATAATGTATATTAAAAGCCATTTTTCTGCTATTTGCTATTTTTTATTTACTTAGTCATTTCTTATTTTCGCTCTACTTTCTGTTTTCGTAAAACTACTGTTAATGTTGTCGAGAGAAGTAATAAATTCTGTTTTTTTTTATATCTATTGTAGGAATGATGAAAGTCTTGTATGTTCTGGAAGAGGTGATTGTGTTTGTGGTGTATGTGACTGCTATGCTGGGCCTGTGAGTACTTTACGAATTGATAATTAAAAATGGAAAAAGTAAATAAAATATATTAATAAATGCTATCTAAAATAATTCCCAATCATTAGCGTAATCGATTGTGAAATACTCTACTGATGAGACTAAAAGAAAGTTGAACTAAAATATTTTATACCGTCTGTTAAAATTCCTTGTTGTTCTTAAGTGCTGATTAACAGCACAAAAAATTTTCAAATCAAACATTTTTCTCGCGAAAAAACAGGGTGCCCACAGAACAGGGAAAATATGGATAGGTCAAAGAATTTTACTAATCTGTAAAAATCAAGAAAATGTCAAGGAATTTTATTAATCTGGAAAATCAGGAAATTTAATTGGAATAACCAAAAAATCTGGGAAAATGAATTAAATTAAATTCAAGCTACATTAAAAAATAAACTAGCCTGTGGTACTTAAAAATTGGTCTTCTAATATTTTTTTTTAAATAAATAAAATTCTAATAGCAAGTATAAATAGTTAAGTACAATATATTTTATAAGATGAAGGTATAACTGAAAAATTTATGTCATTGATAAAAAAAAAAAAAAAACATGGAATTTTTATAAAATTAGTCTGGAAATTTTTAAAAGTATTTATGACCACTCTGTAAAAAGAACTTTATTGTTGACCAGAATAGAATTTCTCGTTTGAATCTATGAAGAAAATAAAATAAGCATGTGCACAATATGCTATTACTTTCATGTATTGCTCCAAACAGGTATAGTAGATTTACAGACCATAAACTTCCACTAGTGATTAATGAAGTAATTAATTCATTAATTTTTCTCTTAATCTTAAAATGGAAAAAAAATCTCTAAAATGTGTGACTTTTAATTTTATTACAAATTAGTTGCTGTATATTTGCTTGTTACATAAAGTGTTCCAGGCAGTTCTATTTTTCTTGTTACGAATAAGGGCCTCAACTTGTCTTATTTTTGTTACACAAAAACTATCTCAGTCCTCATTTACTTTTGTCTCAAATCTCAAGTATCATAATCTATCCATATTTTTATTTTACTCCTTTCACTTTTATCCTTGTTCTTTTATTCTATTGTTTAGTCTAAATTATCTATTAATTCTGATGTTATTCCAACTTTTGTTTTTAATTTTTGTTTTCAATTTTTGTATTTTAAAAATTGGTACTGCTGGGTATATCTATTTATTCAATTTTTACTATTAGTTCACACTCTCCTTATATCTTGTTCAATTTTTCAATTGTTAATAAATTGCTTTTTATGCATCCACTCAGTTCAAATATATATTTTTTAATTTTGCAGTGGATGATGCTTAATGTTAATACCGTTTCTTCAAATATTAATCCATTAATTAAATAGGGATGAGCGAAAAACAAAATGGATTTTCTGATTGGCTAAGCATTAGTCATTGTTTTAAATTTTAGGATAAGTGATTAAGTTTTTCACGTATTTTAAAGATAACATCAGTGACAATTTCTAACTTATAGCTCTGTTTGAACAAAAAAAAATAGTTTATTGCGCACATTTAAATATTTAGTTATTTTATATTTGTTAGATAAATTCAATAAAGAACATTATGTGGTAGCATGTGTGGTCCACGTCACCAGATTTATACTTTTATAGTTGTCCGATACTTTTCTATTCCTACTATTAGTTCACACTTTTACAATATATATTTATATATCTTTTCAAATTTTCAATCATTAATAAAATATTTTTTATTCATTTATTCTAGTTCAAATACATTTTTTTAAACTTGTAATAGATGATATTAATACAGCTTTTTCAAATATTAATTCATTAATTAAATTAAATTTATTAATTAAATTAAATTAATTAAATTAAATTCATTAAATTAAATTCATTAAATTAAATTCATTAAATTTAATTCATTAAATTAAATTCATTAAATTTAATTAATTAAATTAAATTCATTAATTTTAGTTTTATGTGGGAGAAATTTTTTTCAATTATTTAATAAAAAGTAACAAAAATAAAATTTTCTTTGTTGATCTATTTACTTTAAACTTTTTTTTTTTTAATATTACTTGTTATAAATATTTTTTGTTTTTATTTCAGAGTAGTGAGTCAAAAATCTATGGCGCATTTTGTGAATGTGACACTTTTTCGTGTGAAAGAGATTCCAATGGACTTGTGTGTGGTGGAGAAGATCGTGGAAGATGTTGTGGCGAGTGCATTTGTAATCAAGGCTGGACCGGTCCTGCCTGTGAGTGCAAAGCCAGAAATGATACATGCATAGCACCTGCTGACATAGAAACTGGTAGATTTTGTAGTGGAAGAGGAGATTGCGTTTGTGGTGAATGTCAGTGTTACAGAGATGATGAAAGAGGACATTTTGGAGGACCATTCTGTGGTGACTGCAGTGTGAGTTATTCATATAGTTTCATTTTTTTGCTGTGAAAATAAATTTAATGTAAAAATGTTGTTTTGGTTAATATTGTTTGTATAAAATATATATTTTAAAGGGCTATAAATCTCTTTTTTTTTAAGTAGAAATTTTTTAATACGTTTAATGAAATTATTCATTTATGGAAGAAAAAATTATCGAAATATCTTTGCATTGTAATTATCTATATAACTAAAATAGAATGTTTATATGTACATGTTTTATTCACATCTATTCTGAACCAGTCCACCCCTAATTTGGCGTGCATACGTTTGAAGGCATGAAACACATCTGTTTCATGTTAGTTAAGATTAAACAGCTTTACAAAACTATATTACCTTGTCATCAAACTATGGGAAACTGTATTTCACATTTTCTCTCTACACAGCATTTCACTTTTCATTGAGTTCTATGGTCTATCGAAAACAGAGTGAATTGCATCCAATTTAAAATTCTAGAAATGTGTGCCTATATTCCTACATTATGAAAAAATTATGGAATACGCCTACATTTTATAATTTTTTCAAAGTAAAAAAAAATAATTTTTTTAAATAAAATACTAAAAAATATATTTTTGTAGGCTAGTAATTTTTTCAATAAACACGTTTGATGTGAATCACGATTAAACAGCTTTTCAAAACTGTATTACCTTGTTACCAAACTGTAGGAAACTGTATCTCAGATTTTCTCCCTACACAGTATTCACCTTTCATTGAGTTTAGTGGTCTATCAGAAACAAAAAATAATGTTTTCAATTTAAAGTTATAGAAATTAGTATAATAGAGTATTTGCATTTTACTACCTTTTATTGTTATACATGGTCGTTATTAAGAAAATCCCTAAAATTCTCTTTGTGAAATATTTTATGTACACAATAGTCAGCATAAAATTTCTATTACTTTGCAATATCTGCTGTATATTTTTTTCTGTGTTGATAGCTATGTAGTTGGCTTTTTTTGTTTAAAAAAATGCTATATTTGTTATTTAATTTTTACTCTTTTCAACTGTATATATTTTCTGAGCACATTCCGATGCTGCTGTGTATTTTGCTTGAATTTTATACAACATGCTTATGATGTGTAAAATTTCAGTTCCAGACATGTGAGGGTAGATGCACTGAATTTCGTGACTGTGTACAGTGTCAAACATTTGGAACTGGACTGTTGTCAGATGAGGAATGCTTTAACTGTACATTTTTGTCTACACCAGTGGAAGATCTTGGAGGTTAAATAAACTTTATTGACATTAAATTCATTCATACAATAATAAATGTTATGAACTCATTAACTTTTATGTCACAAATGGGTGTTTCTAATGGGATATATTGATACTTTTTGATTACCCAGAGTACTAAACTAAAATCTGTATTGTGTCCTGCTCTTAGTTGGTTGTCAAGATCTATAGAGTGACACGGGAGAAATAATAATAGATAAAGTTCAAGAAAAATCACAATTAGCCACCTCAAATGGTGAAGTTTATAGTCGGAAACGAATACTTTTGCAGCTAATTTGTTATTTTGTTAAAGCCATATCACCCCATCTCGAACCTTTGAGAATAAAAAGACAGGAAGGATGGATGAACATTGTATAATAAAAATTTTAATCTCTCTTCTAGAAGAGTCAATAGAAGTTTAATATTCATTTCTATGTCTGTTGTCATTACATCCCTATAATTTAAAGTTAAAGTTGAGTTTTCCTACCATATTTTTAAAAAGCTTTTCTATTTTTAAAAAATTTTTGTTTTTAAGTATGTTTTTTTTTAAAAAGATTTATTTTAATTGTGTTTGGGGAAACAAATTCAAGTTAATAAGGGAAGAGCAAAAAAATAACTAAGTATAAAAAATATAACACATTTCATCAACAATTTTTTTTAACATGAGCAGTGTAGAAAGTTTTAAAAGAATTTTTTTTTCCATCAAGTTTTTAAAATATTTAATAAATAAATGAATTATACATTTTTAAACCATCAAGGTTTGACTGTAAATGTTTTCAAAAGGATCTTTCTTAAAACTTTTCATAAAAAGAATTAAGCCTATTATCAATAATTGAATACAAGTATTTTAACAAGAACCTAAATGAAATATAACTTTAATTAAATGCATGTGTAAATTATCAAGGCTCGACTGAAAATGTATTAAAAAAGATCGTTCGAAAAACTTTTATTAAGAAGAAGTAAGCATATAATCGATAATTGAATACCAGTATTTCGACAAGAACTTAGATGAACTTGAACTTTATTAAAATTGAACTTTATTAAAATTGAACTTTATTAAAATGCATGTGCAGTGTTATAATATATATCTCTTAAAAAAATTAAACATGCTTAAAATTAATGGTTTCTTTTCATTACATTTCTGTAGCTTAAATTAAAATATGAATATAACTAATAACTCAATTTTAATGCAATCAAGAGGAACATAAATTAAACTGTATTTTAATTTTTCTCATCATCTCTTCAAAAGAGTTTTAATTTAAGCTCTAAATCAGATAAATAGGAGGTTATTGTAAAAAGTTTTATTATGGAAATTGGCACACACTTTATTAATACAGAAAAGGTACTGAATTGTCTATCTTTTATTGGCTCTTATTTATTTATTACAGCAATAAGATCAAAAATTGTATTGGCGTAGGGGTAATTTTAGTTAAATATTGTAATTTTGCCATTAAAAAAATTAAAAATTTACAGCTAAAAATTTATTAAAGTTTGTGTATACTTAGATGCAGCTTGAATGTGAAAATTTCATGTTTTTTTTTTTGTACTGAATCCACATGTTCTGAATCATTCATATTTGTGATTATGAAGATTAAGCTATTTTTGACAAAAATAAAGGGAAAGTTAAATAGCAGTGCTGAATTAAATTTTTCTACTATTGCAGAAACTAATATTAGTACAAATTGAAATTACTATCCTCTAAGCCCAAAAAAAATCCATTAAAATGTGTGCTTTTTTAAATTCCTATATTGTTTTAATGTCAAAATCTGTGATTAAAACGAATTTGTTAGAAATTTAATTAAAAAGTTTAAAAAATAGCTAATATTATATTGCTATTTTTGAAATTTATTTTTGCCTATAATAATTATATTCTGATATGACTAAGTCCAAACTAAATCATATTTTACAAATGAATTTTAATTAGTTTTTTATTATGAGACTAAAAAAATAAAAATTGACCACTAAAACTTGAAGCATATACTAAGCTATGGGTCTTTAGAATGTATGATTGAAAATGACTGTCTTTTTAATTAAACATTTTTTTAAAAAAAGTACTTTATTTTTCAGAAATTCTTCAAAATGAGAGAAAATGTATTTTTAAGGATGAAGAAGACTGTTCATTCTCATTTGTTTATAGTTATGATGATAATAATAAACCTATGATTAGAGTCTTAGATACCAAAGGTAAATAAATGTTAAGTGTCATTATTTTTTTAATTTTTTATGGTATGTGCATTTCTAGAATGTTTTCTGCATAAGAAAAAAGGTTATTTTACTATTCACAACAAAACAGAATTATTTATAGACTAATAACATAATAGAGGGGTTCCCTGTGTAATGAAGCACACATCATGGGAATCTCCACAAATGACAAAATAGCACTAATCACGAAGGAGCTATATTTAGTCTTGAAATTAATTTTCCTTCACTAATGTTGGCATAATTTGGCTGTGAATTCATATTTTTAAACTTACATCTGAACCATAATTATTAAATTCATTTTTTTAATAACTTTATATACCATTAAGGCAATTCGCAACACCAATTTTTAGTAATGTTTAGTCTTGTTCTGGCCTTACGAAGTAATTTATTACATCAATATATTGTAAAATTTTATTAAAATTATTTGAGTAAATATAACTTTGTGTAGAATTTTGAAACTTTTTGAAAACGACTGTCAAGGCAGAATTCAGAAAAATCTACTTTTTAACCTCAGATTGTTGCTCTTTCATTGATGTTTTGAAATAGTATGTCATTTTTTGGACATCCTATATTTATAGTCATTTACTTGTCTTAATGGTAATAAACTTGTAATTTATTTTGCAGATTGTCCTTCGAAAGAACCAGTATTATGGATTGCTCTTGGTGTAACAGCTGGTGTATTTTTAATAGGCCTGATAGCTCTGTTAATTGGAAGATTTCTTATTTATCTTAAAGACAAAAGAGATTTTGAAAGATTCGTTGAAGAAGTAGATAAAACTCAGTGGGGCAATGTGAGTATTCATTTTTTTTTAAAATTCAAACTTTGTTACAAAATTACCAAAATCAGATGGAATAAATTACTGTCTTATAAAAGCACAAATAAAAATAGTTCAACCCGTAGAATAATATATCTTTCTCTGAGTCAAAGCTGAGAAACTGTCTTATCAAGTTTTAGGAGTCTTACCATTGAGCACTGAATGTTTCCTTTACCTTTACTTGAATTCCTTTACTTGAATTTGAGCTTTAAAGTAGTTTTATTTCTTATGTTGATATATTTTGACAATAAACATAATTTTGCTACGTTCATAAGAAGCTATTTTAATATCTTTATTGATAATATTTAATAGCAGCTTTTATTTAGTACTAATTTTGATTTTAAGTTTCTGAAAATAATTTTACAATAGATTTGAATTTAAAACTATTGAAAAATTATTCATATTGCTTTTACAAGTTTTCATCCTTGAATTTATCTAGCATTTTATTATTTAATTTGGCATAAATTTAAATAATGAAATTAATTTAACTTAATTATTTGTAACAAATGACTCATAATATTTAGGAAAGGAAGTTACTTATTATTGAATAAAACCATATTAGGTTAAAAAAAGAAGTTAAGTCTAATTAATTTTTATGTCAAGTATTCTGTAATAAACATATAAATTAAATACAAATGTAGTGCAGTTGTACCCCAATTATTCAAATTTCTTTTGTATCAATATCTCTTGTAATATCCAAAGTCCTGCAAGTATGCGCATGTGCAATTTTTATTTATTATTTTCTTTTTTTAAGTTATTATGCTGCTTTAAGTCAGCTAAATACGGTGCTCTAAAATTAAAAAACTATTTGTGCTACATTAATACATAGAATTAATCATTTTACTTGACAGGGTAGCTGTGTTCTTCCTAAGTGTTTTTTGAAGGGTAGCCCGCCCTGCCTGCCCTTTGATCTCTATAAATATGCCCTTTTCTGTGAAAAAGAAAAGCTGCCATCTCTTAAAAGCAGTGTCTTTTTATTCTGACCCATTTTTTAAGAAAAATTTATTAAAATAATTACACGAAAATTATCTGTGTTTATGGGTTTAATTCTGATGACTATTACTATTACAAATATTTACTTTGTTAGGATTCTTCTCAACTGGTTAAATTTTTTAAAGTTTCCCTTTTTTCAAGGGGGTATATTAATGTATTTAAGTGATTTTAAATTTTAAAATAATTTTTTAAATAAATACCTTTTCTTTTTCTTTTTTCTTTTAAAAAAAAGAAGCATTTTTAAATGTTTATTTTCTAATCATTTACAGTATAAATTATGAAAAAAATCTTTTTAAACTGTTTATCAAAAAAGAATATTTTTAGTTCACTTTTTTTGTTATTTTTTAATAATTTAGTTTTTAATATTTTTGTAATATTCACAGTATATTCTATAATATTCAAAATAACAGTATATTTATGATTATGTTGTAGTTGTCAGATAATGTTTAAAATATCATTTTTGTTCCATTTTTTCTTTCAAATATATGATTATATCTTTTCTTTTTTTCATTATTTAGCATACAAATCCCATCTACAAAGAAGCTGTTTCTGAATATCCTAATCCAATTTATGGGCAGCAGAGTCACTAAACGGAAACATTCATTCTGTGAATACTCTATCTAGTCTTATAGTTTTTAAAATTGCATATTCAAAACAAAATGAAATTTTTTTTTTTAATCAGTAAATTTTTTTTGCTTAAATGTTTTGTATTCTAATTAGCAAATTACGAGTAAAATGCTTGATTGGCAGCTGTGGAGAAATTTAATCTAAGTATTTAATGGAAATCAAGAAATTTTTTGTGATTTTTTTTGTGATTTTTCATATTTCTTTTGAAGTGTATTAGATTAAAATAAGTTATATTTTCGATTCATTATATTTTTCTTTCGTATCAGTTTTTGAAATGTCTGCTTAAAATTTAGTGATGGATTTTAAATCAAATTATGTTTAAAAAATATCAATGCATTGAAAACTTGGTTGCATTCCTTTCATTTGTTTAAGGGTGTTCGTCTAAACTCTTTTGCTTAGAAAAATGAAAGAGGAGAAAAAAATTTGTACCTTAAGATTGCTAAGCTTTTGTTCAAAACTATATATACTGCCTTGTTTGAACTTTAAAATTGGCAAATGTTTTCAACATTTTGAAAGGTCCATTTTTAAAAAAAATAAATAAAAAAGAACTCCTACATTGGTGAGATTTTCCTAGTTGAATGATAATTATTAAAATTATTGAATAATTCTCAATTTCTTTCATAATTTGATTTACTCAAACAGTTATGCATTAATGTAACTTTTCAAATGTTTAAAAAAAATTAGATCACACTTTTCATTTTCACAGAATTGTGACTTTTCTACTTAATTACATATTGCACAATTTTTATAATCAGCATAAAGGACCTTGTCTAGAGATTGAAAACACTGGATCTATCAGTGGTAAAAAAATAGTTATAAAGATTGCATATTATGTGAAAAATATGTTATTCTGTTTAATAAAAGAACCTTTGAAGAACAACCTTAATCTAATACTGTAATCAATCATACTATAATCAATTTGTCTTTCTTTCTTATCTGAACTTAAATTTATGAGAGGCTTTTTGATTTTATCCAAAGGAAGATAATGCAACAATTTATAACATATAATTCATAATACATTTAAAAGAGAATGCAACTTATATTGTAATTCTTGTTAGCATTTTAAAGTTTATCATTGATATATTCAATTTTCTTGAATCAAAATTGCATCATATAACAGAATGTTTATGTTTCATCAAATTTGTGTTTCATTTTTTTTTGCCCCAACTATTTACTTGTTTTTATAATCAAAGAAATTGATTTACATTGTTCTTTTAGAGAATAGTAGTTGATTAAAGCCTTTGTATTTAATTATTAAAATTATTTTTAAATCACTTTTTTGGGTCAGCACAACTGCTTTGTCTGAAGTTGTTTTATCTGAGATTCTTACCAATACCTCTCTTTTTATTTTATAATTATGTTCAAATATTCAACTGATTTAGTGTATATTAATTTTTAACTGAGATTATATGTTTATTATTTACTCTTTGTTACTATTGAGATTAAAAGGAAAGTGTTTTTATGCCAAACTAATAATTAGACCGTTAGTTTTCACTCATGGTCATAAGCTAACTTGCCACTAGTTTTTATATTTGTCTTTCATTTTCTAATTTTATACCAAGATAAAAATATACAGTATAAAATTAAAATTCTGTAGTTTTTGTTTAAAATTATACCTATCTTTAACATATATAAATCTCTGAATTTCTGTTAATGAGAGGATTTATTTAATTTCTAATGAGAGGATTTATGAGACGATTTATTAATTATTAATGAGAGGATTTATTTAATTATAATTCTAGAATTTCTTGAATTCATTCCAAATGTTTTTGTTCCTTCCATATTTTTTATACATTAAAAGTACTTCATGATTTGTATGTTGGTTTTGTACCAAGTATTTCCTTTCTCCACCTTTTTTTCTTCTATATATGCTATTTTTTGTAAATACAACAGAATGGTATACATAAGTTATCAATGGTATACATTAACAGTTTAAGCTTACTTAAAATAATTACCCGATACAATGGAACTGATTTTAATAAAGTAATATTACTGAATTATATTATCTTAAAGCTGTATTAACATTTGTTAACCTGTTTTAAATGTTAGATTAACTTTGGTCATTGATTTAAAATATTTCATTACTGTGGTTATTAGTATTCAAAATTTATCCATGGATTTAAGATATTTTATTATTGTGTTAATTAGTTTTTAAATATTTTGCTGGTAATTGGTATTTTGGGTTTATCCAGTTAGTTACTATTTAATGTATTTATTTATCTGTAATAAGTATTTATATTTAAGGCATCTATTAATAAAAAAAAAAATCTTAATTTTTCCCGATTATGAGTTATTTCTTTTTTTGTTTAAATGGGAATAAAAAATATCTTCTAAAAGTGAAGTTTAATTAATTGGCCATTTTATAAACTGTGGTAAGTCGTGAGAAATTCCATGTTTAAAAATCAAAGATTGTTTTCCCGAGTTAAAAAAAGTAAATAAAAAATATATACAGGCGAAGGGAAGTTTTCGGCATTTAATTTAGATAGTGCTCATTAATCTACTTAACTGTTTTCTGCCTCATGTTGCACAAATACTTCTTAAAATTCACTGAAAAAATGTTAATCTCCAAAAAATAGTGATTTTATAGCTTACTGAAATAATTTATTCAAATGTTTGAATTAGATTGGAAATATATATTACAATAAATAAAATTTTTAGTAAAAAGCATAAAACTGGTATTGCCTTTTATTTAAATGCCTTTGTTTTGGGGCATTATTATGTATTTTAAGCACTCAAACTCCATTTGCATTTCAAACTTAGCATTTTAACTTGGCATTTTACATGCAAACTTGGCATTTTATATGAAAATTGATTAATTTTTTTAATTGCTACTTTTTTAAATAAAATAATATATTTTTGATGAACTTAAGTCTATGTGTTTGTAGTTATTTTTTTTCTACTCTCTTAGTTTATTTGAATATTTATAAACATTACTCAAGAAGGATTTCAAATACTCAACTTATATATTATGAGGATTGTCATATGTGAATATAAATGAAATTATAATTTTTATTTAAAATTTTTTTACTATTTTTATATTGTTTATTCCTTCAACTCATTAAATTTTGAGTTTGATTGTTTGAAAAATGAGTTAGTTTTATAATTAAGAACATTACTTATTTTGATTTCATTAAGCTAAATCAGTTTATAAATCTGCTCAGAAAATTTTCTTTTTTTAAAAATTTGATTATTTGTTGAATTTGTAAGTAAACAAATTTAAATAAACTTTGCTCTGTTTTACTATTTTGTATTAATTCGTAAAAAAATGTCTATATACTCTTATACAATTAGGTTAAGGGTTTGTATATTATTTTATCTACTATACTATATGCCTATATGTTCCATGTTATTGTTTCTTTTTTTAATTTTTATTTTTTCTAATTATTGGATAATATATGTCATAACATATGTCATTTATTGAATAATATGTCATCAATTCATATTTTCATCTGCAAAATGCATAATGATTTGTGTGTAAATTATATAAAATATTTAAAAAAAATATTGATTTTGAAACAAAGTTCAAAGTTAAATGTACTTATAACTTTTAAATTATTAAATGAACCAACCCTATTTTTTCTATTAGAATGATATTACATTTGAGATAAGGGGCCATTCCAATATTTATTAAAGCTATTTTTAGGACATTGTTCCTCATCAGCAAAAAACACAATAAGATCTTGGGTTGAGGGGAACAACTTCCAAGAAACTACTGAGATACCAAGTTACTTGCAAAATTATCCTTGCTTAGAATTCAAAGAATAACAGTGTTTTCTTTCCTTGCTGAATTGAAACAATCTCTTATTTTTTGTAATATCAGCAAATTTGCTATAAAGACGACACAAAGATGTAACTACAGTGTTATTTTAAATACTAACTTTCTGTGAGTTTTAAAAATATCTAAATATTTTTTAAATCAAAAGTTAATGAAAACATGGCAGAAAAAAATTTGATTTTTCTCGCAGGAAAAATGTAGCAAATCAAATAAATATTCTCGATTTTATTAATAATAAAATTAAATATTTTTTATTTTTTAAAAAATATTTCCCCTGTGTGTTTTCATTCTGAAATGTAAGTCATTGCTCTATTGAATGATTTTCTATGATGGCAATTTTCAATACTAAATAAATATCTGCAATGTTCCTAATGATATTTGCCCATTGTGATATAATCAATTATGCCATCCAGAATATTACATTTTCCTGAATTTTCGTGTTCATTTTGTGTTCTAGTGTTTTGTTAAACTTGTTATATGTATTTTTTTTATTTGCTTTTAGTATGATTCTTTGTATAGTTGCTTTGATATATTGTTGGTTGATTGTGAAGCTCTTTTATTTACAAAATTTCGAAAATATTGTACCAATTGAAATTCATACTATTTTTAATGTATTTTATACATAAAATAAAATGCATATTTATCAAATCAGTTGTTACTTTATAGTGATAATTCTACACATACATTATGATTAATTTTATTTTTTTATGATTTTATTTTTTATAATACACTCTGGCTGCATTTACTTGCTTAAAAGGAGTACTAAAAGTAAAGCCTTTCCACTATAGCCTGTTGTAGGCTTAGGGGTATGAGTACTTTCACCAAACTTCTCCCAAATATGTTGTTACCAAATGCTGATGCATTCTTCGATTCCAAAATATTAACTGTTGGAAAAATATTTTAATCTTGCTTTAATCCTCAAATTTATTTCAGAAAAATGTAATGTTTTTGATTTGCTATTTTGACTAAGTGTGCTTAAATAAATATTACAGTTGAAAAAATATATTTTCTGCTATTTACTCCACCCTTCAGTTAATTTTCGATCTTACTACGTACGTAACAGAAAGTTAGAAAATTTCACAAATATATCTAAGAGTGAATCACTAAGTGGAAAATTAGATAATTAAGAGAATTTATTAAAAGGGAATAGACTAACAGGTTGGCAAACCTATGAATGAGTAAATGGAAGAATCAGCAAATCAGCGGGTTGATGAATCAATTGAACAGTGAATCACTGTAATAAATCTGTGATTCCTTGAACTGCCGATTCCTTGATTTGTTCATTCATTTTCTCAATGTTTTGCTGATTCATTAATTTGTTTTTTCATTATTAATTTAATTTTGTGGACCTTTTAATCGGTTTATACATTAATTAGATGATTTTTAATTTGCTTATTAGATCATATTTTAGCTTACTGATTCATTTGCTAATTCATTGACTCTTTTATGTATTGATTTCTTGATATGCCGATTTATAAATTTTTTTCACACATTAACTTGCTGATTTCCTGATTTATTATTTGATCCAAAGCTTTAATGGCTTAGTTGTCAAAAGCCGATTTGTCATTGTGAAAAGTAGGCAATTGATATTCAGTGGTGGTTTATAATTTACCCAGCTTCAAATCACTGAGTACCAGCTTGTCTGGAAAATAAAGGCTTCACTATACAATCATGGTGTGGGTCACTTAATTGAGAAGCTTTTTCCCTTCTGAACCCTATGCCAATAGGGCTATTTTAAGGCCAGAAGGGCTATGCTTAACTTTACTGATTAATTGGTTTATTGTTTTGTTGGTTGACTTGCTGTGCTTTTTATCGATTCGTTTATTTTCTCATTTATTAGTTTGCTTATTCAGTGATTTGTAGGTTTGGCAATTTATTGATTTATTAATTAATAAATTACGCCAATTTATTTTTCGATTTACTTATTAATTTATTTCTATTGCTGGAAATCATTTTAATTTGCAATAATTACTCTTATATGTGAAGTGTATTTTTGCTAAAAGTACTGTAAAGAATTGGAAAAAAAATTTAATTCAGTTTTTTCTTGATCAATGTAGTAAGAACACATGATTAGGGATGATTGTAGTCACCTTTTTACGGAACTTTTTTTAAAGCAGAATTCGGCTGTTTAGTTAATGTACGTCTTTTTAATTTATATTTTAAATATGTCTGTATTGTGTGTGTATGTATGTGGTAGGGTATGATTATTTTTTTATAAATTAGGTACCCACTTCAATTTATTACTATATATATTAACTGTTTATTCCATATATTTCAGATTAGCTTCATTATTTACACACTTAGTGTGTTTTATATTAACTACAATTAATCCCAAATAGTCTAATTTAAACATTTATTCAAATGGGTCAAAAATGGGAGACATTTAGAGTGTAAAGATAAGAAACATTATTTTGATAAAAAAATTTCACATTTTGTTCAAGCTAATTTCATTCTAAAGTGCGTCCATGCAGAAACCCTTGTCAACCATGCAAAAATCTTTATATATGAGTTTTCCCTTGCCTTTAAATATGAGTTTCAACTTTTAGGACTAAGTTCTCAAATATTGCATACTGTCTAATTATGTAAAATCCAAATCATTATGTAAAACACTAGTTTGAAAACATCATTGTTTTGTTCCTTATTAAAAAGACAGGGTTGAAGTTTTCTTCATATTCTTGATTTTTCTAACAAAATATATTTTGTTCTGATTAATAATAAGTGAATAAGCAAATCAAAGAATAAATTAGCTTTTTGTTCTGATGCTTTTGTGTTTGATCAGAATACAAATGCGGATTTCAAAATAACTGATTTAAAGAATCTAAGGACTCTGGGTTTTCAACTTGTGATGTAATCTATGAAAGAATTTGGTATACGAATCTTATTTGAATTTATAATGTTTGTAAAATTTAATACTTTGAACCTAGGGACCATCCACAAATTATATACATGGTTCAGACACTGTGCTATTCACAAGATTTATTGTTTCAAATTTTTGGGGAATAAATTTGAAATTTTTTTTTAAAAATTATTATATGAAAAAGAAAACTTATTTTACAATTTCACTTGTGAAATTTTTATGGTGATGAATTTAGGGGTCATGTGCTTGTTATTTTTAGCAAACACGGTACCAAATCTTTCAAGCTAAAGTTTTGCAGTTCGACAATAATTGATTCGAATCTTTCATCTGATTTTATTTTTATAATTGAACGCAATAATCATGAATACAGTAATCATGAAATTTTCAAAGGGCGAATTGAGGGATCATCTATTAAGATATATTTGTTTACAATTGTTTAGTAGCATGTTCAATGTATTTTCATTTTGAAATTAATTGAAACCCCACGTTCAAATTTTTTATTTAAATCTTGAATTCAATTACAAATTTAAATTTAATATTGGTATGAGGAACATCAACTGATATTGGTTATTCTTTTTTTCATCAGTACTGTAATAATTTTTTATATGATATCAAATTTCTATGTGTTGTTCAGTACTTCATTGCTCTGGATACTGTTAAAATTTTTGTCAAGGCAAAGTTATGAATCTATACTGTACCAAATAATGTGATTTTTTTTAAAATGTTGCCCTGTTTTTTTTCTAGAAAATTAAATTTTTTTCCTGTTTGGTCATCCGCCCTTTTAAAAAGTAATCTGGTTTATGTGTACTGTACCAAAAATGCTCTAATTTTTTTTCTGAATTTTTTTCCTTCCAAAACTGTCCTGATTTTTTCTTCTCCCCACTGCTAGACTAAAAAAGAGGTGAACCATACATTTTTCCAAATTCGTTTTAATGCTTGTTTGTTGGATAAATTAAATTCCTGAGATAACTATTTTTAAATATTATCTTTAATACTCTTATACAATATAAAGTTTAGTCATACTTATTACTAATTATAGTCTCAGTCATAACAGATCTTTCATTTAATCTGGATATGAATTGCTAATGGTTTTTGTACAAATGTAACATGATCATCTTACAAAGGAACTCTTTCTGCGATATTCAGAGGAGACACATCACATTCAGGGAAAATTTCATCACTTTCTTCTAAGTTTCTAGGCAACTGAGAAAAGTTTGGTAAAATACTATGATTTTCTCCATTGTTGCCAAGCCACGGAATTGTATGAAAATAAATTTTCATGAAACGAATTCCCTTGTTTAGACTGATGATCAAATATGAGTTTAATTAGTTGGTTATATTAGATTCTATCTTTCTGTTTTGCTTTTATCTTCTGTTTCATCTTGTTCAAATACAGACTGAGTGCTTAATTTCCTTTCTACTTGGTCAGTAAGGGAGTCTAAACTGGATTGCCTTGAGATCGATGCTCTTGTGAAAGTCAATCTTGGTCTTATTACCAAATCGCTTTCGCCATCGTAATCTCCATCGGGTAGCACAAGCAAATTCGCTGTGCTCAGATTATCTTGATCTTCTGGTAGATAATCATTCTCTAAATCATCATCAATAGCAACCCCTCTTTCAACTGCATACTGTTTCACATCTGGTAAGCTTTGAAATCGGCTTGAAGTGTTGTCGAATTCTGATGCATTTAGGTCACCAAATGACAATCGTCTAATATCTGAAGTAGTTCGTAAATGCTCAGGGGGTTCCGGTTCCCCTGCACCACGATATAGGGACAGCACTTCATTGCCCTCCTCTTTTCCTTTGGGGGAATGGAAGGATACCCATCTGTTGTGTGCACCATAGGCTCTTCGGCGCAGTTGAGGTTTGTGGCCCATTTTTGGGACTACTTTTTTCACAACATTTTTGAGGGCTCTTTTTGGTATATCAGATGATCGTCGCTGATTTAATTTGGCCAAATTTGGCTGTGACTGTCCTGGTTGTATTTGTTCTTCTTCAGGAACGGTGTCTTCCGGTATTTGCAAGAGCTGGTTTCTGCAAAAAAAAAGAGAAGAAAATTTTGAATAAATTAATATTTTTTTTTATACGCTAATTTTATTTCTTACAAAAATCTTAAATGCATAGGACTGTATTGTGCATGCATGCATTCGTTTTCTTTAAATGGATAACTAAAGTAAAGCATAGATGTTTTCCTACTTTTTGGAATGCTTGTGCATTTTACAAATGACTACTGGTTTTACATTATTGCCAAATGACTACATTTATTGCATGGCATTACTTTTAACTATTGCGTGAAAGGTATTTATATCTACGCATTTAACTTCATTTCTTGTCGAAAATGGAGTTGGACTGATCGCTAAAACTCGCCAACCTCCACAGTTCTTATGAGTTTGCTTCGAGATCTGAGTTCATTTCGGTCTAAGAGTTCTTCAATATTCCCACATTTATACATCTTCCTTTAAAACACATTAGAGGCTACAACACTGTTCTCTATCGCTCTCCAACCCAAGGAGCTGATTCCTCAGTCTTTTTTAGATAGCTTCACTCTTTTTTGGTCATATGGGTGTGACTGCCTTTCCTTTGAATTTAAAACTTGATAACTGAAAATTCCAAGATATTTTGCTCTTCTTACTGTTATTTGATTTGCATTTTGCATGTCAAAAAGAGAGGAAACGGGAGAAACTGTTATGCTTTTCTACTTAATGTAAGTAAAAATAATGGTGGCGTACATTAAAAAGAAAGTGTTAAAAAGAATCTTCTCTAAACAAATGTAAAATGTGGCTTCATTTTCCACAAGGCAAGAAGTCTGCTTATCAACTGAAATAAAATCTAAATCATAAATATAAAGCATTGGCGACTCTTATTATGTTTGTAAGAAATCATTCGAGTAATGACTTTCTTGCTTTTTTACTTTATTCGACCATTAGTTGCGTAGAAATATTGGAGTGGGGGTTATAGCAATCTCAATCACTCAAACCGTTGTCTTGTCCTCACCTGGTTTAACAGTGATGAAATCTTAAAATATAAATTTCTCCATTTACTAAGTATTTTTGGATATTTTTTTCTATTGCGTTTCACAAATCGTAAGATATGGTTCTCATTAGATCACCGAAGTTACCATCACTCTTTGCGATCCGTGAACGTGTGGGTGACTACTTTGATTAGTCGGTATCGGTTTTTTGTTAAATTATTTTAACGTAAAAGGCTTGACTCTGCTCACAGGTCGTCGGGATACCAAAATGAGCAAGCCATCCCCTTTGCAGAGAATCAAAATTGTGATCGCATGTCTTCGAATTATAATCAGTTATGTTTCCTAGACCGTTGCCAATAGTCCTTTAGCAGTTATACTGAGGCATAAATTAAATACTACTGCTACCATTTATTCCTTTGCAACAACCACATTGGATGAGTCTGCGTAGGGACCAAGGGTGTGCGGTATTGGTCCTCGTTAAACTGTTCTAGCTACCGTAAAGTGCTCGACTTGCGAGCAGGTCGTCGGGCTACCGAAGCTGGGGTGCCATCCCCTCTGCAGAGGATCAAAATTGTGATGGCATGTCTTCGGATCATCCTCAGGGATGCTTCCCAGACCGTCGCCAATAGGCTATTGTGCAGCTCTAGTGCTACGTAAATGAACAACAGCAACCACCACAAATTAAAAAGGATATTTATAAATTCAGTTTTAGTAAGAAAGAATATTTACTCTAGCAATGATCCTGTCTGTTTATTTTCTGAAATAAGTCCATCCAAAGGAGCAAACAGTGATGGGTTCGAAACCTTCCAGTTATTGCTACCGCTTTCCAGTGTCACTGTGTCTAGGTTCTGGTTGGAGACACTGAATCTAGTGTTTAGTTTTCCGCCGACCAATGTCCACAGAGAGGCTCCTCGATTGCCCATGCCATAGGTTGCAGCTATTTTATCCTCGTCGTCATCTTCATCAAATTCTGGAACTAAGAGGTTCTGTTTCTCTTGTGGTATTCTAGTTAGATTTGAGAAGAAAAAAAAGATTGTTTATACATTTGGAGGATAAATAAAATTTAACAATTAAAGTTAAAAATTTTAGAAGAAGACGTAGATTCACATTAACTGCGAAGATTTTCGAGCATGCATACAAGCCTGTTTGCTGTTCCATCATAATTGAAACAGCGAGCGGCATGTAAAACATGTTTTAAGAAACTGGAGTTATTTCATAATTTATGCTATATTTACAAATATTATTTTAACTTTAATATCAATTAATTATGGTTTTATAACACCATCTTTCAGTACAATTAATTTTTAAATAAATATAAGAAAAATATTAAATGCATTTATAAGTGTACATATAAGAGTTCAGACACGGTTCCCAGTAGATCGCCGAATTCAAGCATCAATGGCAGCTGTCAATGTCAAATTATATTCACACCATTTAGTCACCATGACACAATCTGCCCACCTCTTGTTATTGACGTATGCCTGTTTAGGTAGAAAGGGTGCGATTGTTTTTGTTTTCCAGTGGCGCCATCTATGACCAAGAATTTGACTTTTACCTCACCATACGTCGCACCCGTTTATAGGGCGGACCCATTCATACATCCATTCATTCATCCACAGATCGTGGATATAATTTTGACCTGAATCAGAGAACGATCGATCTCCAATCCAGTACCCTNCCAGAGATTGATTTGTTGTGGGAACATGGAGGACTTTGAGAGACTCGACAGATTTAACGTGCATCAGTCACTTTACTACTCGGGGAGTCTTCAGCCGGCGGGGTTTGAACCCACGAACTCTCGGACATGGGCTCAGCGCCCTACCGACCAGGCTATCCCTGCCTCAGCCCACTTCTAAATTTACTAATAGCTTTCGTTTGGTGACTGATGCACGTTAAGACTGTCGAGTCTCAAAGTCCTCCATGTTCCCATAACAAATCAATACCTCTGGGGGTACTGATCCAGGAGTTTCCTTGTCTTCTGGATTGGTTCAAAATTACATAGCTATGGAGTTGAACATTAGTTGTCGTGAAGCCAATATTGGTGACACCATAAAATAAAAACTACCAGTTTTAAAAAGTACAAAAATCTTAAATTTGACTAATGAAGTTGTTTATTTTGATATTAACTGTTTGAAATCTATTTGTGAATGTTTTTTATAATTACAATTTTAAAGAAAATATTATTAATGCAAATTTTTAGACCTACTTCATTGTTGCGACAGAGCCTCTATACGTTTTCTTCTTGTATCCTAGAGATGCCTCCGTGTAAGGCAGTTTCATATCCTGTTGATAGAAATAATTGTCTCTGATCAAGGGCGGAGGATTTGTATTAAGTAAATCGACTCCCAAGTATGAGACCTATATGCGAAAAAAAATAATATATATAATTAAAATAGTTTTTTCGACAAAAGTATTGACAAAAAACGTTGTATATTACAAACAATTTTTTTGTAAAAAAAAGTTTCTTAAGAAAAAAGTACTTGAATGTTAACTTGCTTTCATGTGTCTGTCAATTATCCAGTTGAGTTCAAAATCCTCATCATCGTCACCAAAAGGGTTTATTAACTGTTCTGCAACCTAATAAAAAAGATAGTGGTTTTGAAATTACTTTCATACACTATGATGTTCTATGCAATTATTCGGAGTTGTAATTTCAGAGATGTAAGATGCAGAATAATAAAGTTCTTTAAATTATTCCACATCAGCTGCTTACGGCGGTCAACTTGTTTTCCCAATTTAGTTACTGCCTACCAAATATGCATGCTGACAACCAAATTTGCGAGCGTAAAAAAAGTATACATAAATAGGAAACGATAATAAACATATCCTGTATTATATCAGCTTATAATTAACAGCAAATTAGTTTATTAGCAGCATTTGATAGTTAGGATTTTCAAAAAGTTTCGCATGATCCATTTTCAAAAAAAAAATTTGGTCTCCATTGCGTCGCGCTAGATTTTAAAATATTTCTTTTTAGAAAATTAAAATAATAATTCGTATGAAATACGTATCATGAAAATAGCATTTTCAACTTTTATTAAAATCTGTATATTGCCTTAACATTAGGCAATTAAACTTTTTCCTTAGTTAACAAATAACAAAGATTTTTATTTAACACATAGTTTATCTATTATTATCTGAAAAAAATAAGCTCCTTTTCTTTTGAAAAATTAATTTATATTTATTTACAAACAAAAAGGATCGATTCTAAGCAATATTTAGTATTATAACAAATATAGTTTTAAAATAGATTACTAAAATATTTATGTATTGTACAAGAAAAAAAGCATGAATTATTTATGCTTACTTTAAGAAGACCCATATAAAAAAATAGTTGAAAAATTGTAAAAATTGGAATGTAAAATTCGAAATTGTGATCAGGCTTATCAGGCACTTCTATATACTGTCTACCAAATATGCATGCTCCAAAAAAAGCATAAGTTGCCAAGGTGACAACCTAAAAAAAAAAATTCGAAATATTACTGATGATAGAAATGAAACTGATATGAATTAAAATTAAGTTGGATAAATGGTTTTTACTTGCGTATACACCAAGGGAATACTAATCCAATCATAACTCCATAAGAGTCCACATTTCGAACGAAATTCATTGAATTCCTAGAACAAATTGATATATTTCCAAGATTAACAATTTCTTCAAAATATATTTTACCTTAAAAGATCAAAATTGGTGCTGTCGACATTGTTTGGTAAATGATTTGAATCATACAGACTCTAAAATATTTGTTAAAGATTATTATTTATCATTTACACCAAAAAATTGATGTTGAAAATTTAAAAAACAGTTTTGCATTTTTCATTTCTCACTTACAGTGGCAATGGGCTGCAAGTGACTTAATGTGAGTATCTCAATTTTGATTGGTTGTTGAAACGTGGCATTTGTTTATGTTAGCTATTCTTTCCATTCTATTTCGGGTAAGCCAAGCCCGTCAAGTATCAATTCTCTTAAGTGACGCATTAAATAATATTTCACAGAGATTTCAATTTTTTCTCTACATATTTCTTATTTAACACAAAAGCAGGCGCGAAACCATGTAGAACATAAAAAACTAATGATGAAACATTGAAGTTGTCAGGCACATAAAACAAAAATATATCAATGAATTTTGCTTCGTCTTGAAATTGTCAAGTGAATGAAGAAAATGAAAAGTTTTCGCTATTTTTGCCTTATTTATATAAAAAAGGGCTAAACTATATGAAACTGTACTTCTGATTTTTTATTCATAAAACCGATCCAACTAAAAAATAAAAAAGTCGTTGCGCTTAGTAAAAGTTCGATTCTAATAATTCAGGAGCATGTTTTTCTGCAATGGAAAAAAAAATTAAGTTGATAGGGTAAACCAACCAGTGAAGGAACACTACCCAGTGAAGGAACATTTCATATATATTCATTAAAAATAAGAATTTGAAAGTTTTTCTTTAGATTGATTGGTAACAATAGCTTACTGCCAAACAATAGGAAGTCATCTAGCAATGTTTTGGATTACCTGGTCAAATAGACTTCTCTGGAAA